GCTCTCTGCCTGACCCTGCTTCCCTCCCCTCCCACAGCACTTCCCGGGACGCTCCACACGCTTCCCCATCTCAGAGTCCACCCACTAGCAACAGCAGAAACCCAGCAGGGAGAGGTGGGAGTGGGGTGGGTGCCAGCAAGACAGTGGAAGCCCCAGCTGGGACATTTCAAAGCTTGTGGGGTGGCAAGAGGCCCCTGGGGAGGGAGACAGGGCCAGGGAGGAGAGGTGGAAGAGGAGAGCCACCAAAGAGAACTTCCTGCACAAAGAGGGCTACCTGCTGCCCAGGCAGCTCACCTTGCCAGCCCAGGCCCTCTATATACGTCCAGTGGGAAGCCTCAGCCTCAGCTCCACACCTGTGCAAAGCTATTCTGGGCTCTGGGAAGAACCCGGGCTGGGCTGGGCTGGATGGGAGAAGAGCCTCCTGAATGTGGTTGAGGTGGTGCCCTGAGTGAGAGCAGGGTACCCTCATGCATGAACACCAGGCTGGGGCCCAAAGACCAGAGCACTCCCTGGCTGACCACAGGGCTTTCACAAAGGTTCTGGAGTCAGAGGCCTGTGGCACTGGGGACCAGCCAGGGTGTGAGGGAGCGAGGGTGTTCTAGGGGCTCCAAGGTGTTTCACATGGGTCACCCTCCTTCCACTCAGCACAGCAGCACTGGGAGCACAGCGAGCCTTGGAGCCAAGTGGGTTCTCCCAGGGGGTGTTCCGTTGGCCCAGGGCATCCAGGGAGGACTGAGGACTGGAAAGGGGTCTTGCCTCCCATCTAGCCTCTTCCCACAGAGCATAATAGCAGTCACACAGAGGCGGTTTTAGCTGGGAGTCACACGCTTTGGAGGACTATGATCATGACCTACAGGTGAACAAGAGCACAGGCACAAAGAGAGAGCAGTGGTTCATCCTGGGGAGGGTAGAGAGGGGGCTGCCACTCAGCAGCTGGCACCTGGGTCAAACCTAGCTCAAAAATAGAAGCCTCTATATCCACCTACTTTGTGATCTGGCAGTTTTGCTCCTGGATCTACAACATGAAGAACTTCTCGCCAGGGTCACGAAGAGCCAGGACAAGGATGATAGGGCTGGGGTGAGGGCGTGGGCCAGAGGTTTGGGCGTCCATCTACCTGATCAAGGTGGGGGAAGAAGGGAGGGCGTTGGAATGGGGAAGCAGAACTGTGGGGGTCTGATAGGCGGTGCTGAGTGGGGAAGGAGGGAGCCTGAGGCAGATTTGGAGTTACCTAGATCAAAACACGAGGACTCCAAACAAGAGTGCCGTGCTGAGAACACAGAAGGGTACACAGGACACACATTGGAATGATGGTCTGCTGGGGGCTGGGAGTGGGATGTGGTAAGAAAAGGGAATACATAATAACAATGGAGGTGCTCACAGGAGACAGCAGTGTGCCATTAATTTGCTTCTGTTGGGGGGCCAGAAGGGCTCCCAGGCCCCACGCCCACATGATCCTACACAGGCCAGTGCCCAGTATCAGGAGCAAAGGCCTGTGGGGCTCAGGGTGGGGCTGGAGCGATGTCTGCCTTTCAGGAAGGAGCTCTCGGTGAGCCAACAGAACACACACTGGAGAACCCACCTGGCTCCAGGGCTTGCTGCGCTCCCAGCAAGTACCTCTAGGAAAGTACTTTGAAGCCCCTAGAACACCCTTTGCTTGGCCTCAAAGGCATGCAGAGGCCCCGCTGGCTCTGATACTGTGTGGTCTTCAGCTGGCTGCTGAGTGTCTGCGTAGGGGGGGGGGGTCCTCTTCCCCCTCAGAATGGAGGTACAAGTAGACATTCTGTGGGCGCTGAGCCCACCCCCATGGCCGGCAGCCTGCACTTTGCTCTAGAAGGCTTTTCTGCCCTGCACAAGCTACTCAGAGAATGGTTGGTCGGGTGCTACTTGACGTGTCCTGTAGGGCAGCTCCCCTGATCTCTCTGGGAAGGCCTTGGGACTCAGCCATTCTCCAGGTGTGACCTAAGGGCTGTGGGTCTGTATCCCAAGCAGCTCGGCCTGGGAGGCCCGGAGAGCTGGGTACATGGCCAAAAGCTAAGACAAGACTGCAGCTGGCACAGCTACCAACAGACCATAAGTGGAGGGACTGGGGCCCTTGGAGGGAAGCTCATTTTCTCGGGGTCCATATAGCCCTCTGGAGCTAGTCTGCACCCCTCACTTTGCTTGTCCAAAATGTTGTGGGGTTTGGGGGCATGCTGTGGGTATTGACAATAAATTTCACGTGAGTTTTAGTGTGCATGGGCAAAAACTCCAAGTTGGTGAATGGTGGGCTGAGGTCTGCAGGGTTTGCTGAGATCTGGACTCCCTACTACAGCACGGATGAACCCCGCGGTGCTGCTCCAAAAAGAGCTGGGGGTAGAGGTGCTGCTCAGAGACCTGGTCAATCCGTTACCCCCACCACCTTGGTTTTACAAAGAAAAACCTAGGCCTAGAGCCGGGAAGAGTTTATCCAAGGACCCCCTGAAAAATTACCCATGAGCTGAGGTAGCTTAGCCCCTGACTGCTTAAGTCACACTCAATAGGCTACCTGTGAGCTGTGGTCGCCTTTGACCTCTACATCCCCGGACCTCTGCAGAGTAGGGTGGCTAAAGAGAACAGTGGATAGCCTCCAAGCAAGTACCTGGCTGGGCAATGGGCTTAGGGAGATGCTAACAGCACATTGTATGAGCCCCAGATGTCAGTCATTTCTTATTTAAAAAGAATATTTTAAGTAATAATTATCAGAATTCCTCTTACATCTCTGCATTATTTTGTCACTTACCAAGTTCTTATATATCTTTTTTCCTCCTCCAACCCTCCTTTGAGCCCATGAAGAGCCCCAGCCCCTGCTTATTACCTACGTCTAGAAATGGGTACGATGTGAACTTGCTTGTCCAAGATGGCTCAGCTAGTGAGAACAGAGAGTGGATTCAGAGATGGGTGCCTGTCTCAGGAGTGTGGCTCTCTCCACTACACCACACTGCCTGATTGGAGATGTCTGTCCTGCCAAATCCAGACTTAGCCCAATTTCTGGGCCTCCCAAACTAAGATCAGCCAGTAAGAGTTTTAAAATTAGCAAAGGTTTGGCTTTTATTCAAAGCAGGGACCAAGCGCCAGCTGCCCCTGCACCTGGTGTGCACTAGGTCGGGAGCCCACTGTACCAACATGTTATTCTGTGGCTTGAGGAAATGCTGTTGATGGGGAGGCTGTCATCTGCCTGGCTTGACACACATACAAGAATAAACCTCAACAACCAGCCCACAAGCTTTCCAAAGGCCATTATCACTTGTGGAGTGGACCTTGTGTACACACAAAAGATGACAGTATCTGCAAGATGAAAGCAGGCTCTGGAGCTGCTATTATTAGATTACTTTTATTTAGAGAAACAGGGCATCCATTGGGAAAGTTGAGGACTCGGAGCCTTCTTGACCTAGATTTTGTTTTCTTATGTCAGCCACAGCCAATCACAAGCTGAAAAAAGGTCAGCACTACTACTTGCCTTAATTGCAGAGGAGTGTAGTTAAAAGTGTGTGGCATTAAGATTAATATTCATTATAAAAACACAAAATATAGATGAAGATTAAAAGTAACTTAATTTTAGTACCCAGAAATATTCTCTTTTCAGACTTTTGTTCTTTTCATGAAAACCACTCAATAGTGAAAGTGTTCATGAAACAAATTAAGTACAGCACAATTAATTACGTTTGCATTACACTGGTTACAACAGGACCCCATGCAGGAACCAGCACTCCAAGATTTGTCAAATGTGCCTTTGCTGGGTTTCCTGTGGTGTGTGATTTTGTCATTCACCACAGGTGGTACAGCCACTGGGGACAGAGGAGAGGGCGCTCCTGGAGAGGGATCTCAAAAGTAAGTGGGAGATGCTGTTGGGCTTCTGACCATTTTTAACAGTGAGTTTATTAATTTTCTTTGCAATAACAAGAGATACTCATAGCTTTAGAAATACTTTAATTATTGAAATTACTGCAGAAAAATCCTTTGATTATTGTTACTCCAAAATTTTCTAGCCTTTAATCCACTTTCCTCCCGGCACTGAAAGTTTTTTTTTCTATTGTTGTTTTTTTAATTGTGATATTTGAAACACATGGCTTTTTAGGAGTTCAACTAATGAAATACAGCAGAACAGGCTTGACCCCTCGTCTCTTTTACACATACTGAGTTTTATGTGTGTGCATATCTGTTATGTACACAAACTCATACAGATATTTTAAAAATTACATAGATTTATGTAATTTCCAAAATAAAGGCTCATGTCATATAAATCTTATATTTTCCATCTATTTTTTACTCAATAGTATACTGTACGCATTTCCTGATGCATTAAATATTCCCTCAAATATGATTTTTAATAAAGTCTTCCATTATGTGGCCACAGCATACATTATCTATTTCATTATTCAATATTTTAAGTGGCTTCCAGGCTTTTTCATGTTGTGTGTGACTCTGGCCCTGTCTCTTACATTTTCTTACAGTCAATTTCAGAATCAGAACTACCTTCCTGAGGTTTTCATGAGTATAATCAACAGCATATATAAATCCCCCTCATACAGTGCTTTGCTCGCAGCAGGCGCTCAGTAACTGGTAGCTATAAATAGGAAATCAAGTAACCAAGAGAACGGACTGACTGTGCCACTGCAGAGGGCTGGGGAGGCCATGCTCCCCTCATCCACTCAGGGCTCAATGGAATGGGGAAGGCGGGGCTGGGAAGCTAGAGGCAGGGGAGGGGGGTGAGGGTGGTCCTGGGGGTCGGGGTGGGGTTGCTCCCAGGAGCAGACAGACCCATCAGTATCTAGAATGAAATCATTCTGCATTTTGAACCGAACAGACACCTGCCTCCCTGATGCCCTCAGACATGCCCGCTCTTTGGTCTCAGAGACCCGCTGTGAGGCTGCAACACCTATTCAGGTGAAGAGGGGACCTGGATGGTATTGATTGCACTCCTCCTTCAGAAGCTTCATATGGCTGAATACTGTTTGGAGAACAAACAACATGAACCACTGTGTTCTCAAAGATTATTTATTAGCTATTCTCATCCATGATGAAAAAAATAAAATGTAAACAAAATTAAAAATAAGATGAAAATCCTACAATATTTCTTGCCCAAGGACATCAGCTCAAGTACAAAATGGGACCCCAGGGCCTTCATGTCTGCAGCTTGCCTACAGGAGAAGCCCTCACAAGAAGAAAGACAACCACACTGTAATGTCTGCTCGGGTACAGGGTCTGGTGTGGCATGACAGGAAAGTACAGTGATGTTTTTTTTTTTTTTTAAACAGAGACTAGAATAATTAGAAGCCTATGAGCAACACCCCTTCCGAGCCCACTCAGGTGCACCTGGGAACTGCTGGGCTATTCTTTGGAATGAGTCTTCCCAGGCCTGATGATTGCACTGCATGTCCTTGGGGTGGCCAGTCTCTGTTCTTTGATGGTGGATTTGACTTCTTAGTACAATCAGGTCACCTGGAGTTGGTTTGGATGGATAGGGGATAATGGAATTCTGGGATGTTATTGGGGGATAAAGCTTTAAGTGGTACAGCAAGGAAACTTTTATATGGGCCCCAGCTGGCCCTGGAGGCCTTCCTCAGAGAGGTGGCAATCTTGCAGCCTGTGCCATGCCACGTGAGTGTCTTGAGGGAGCACACAGCTCCTGAGGTCAGGACATGGAAGGTCAGGCCTCCTCCGGAAGCTTCAGCTCTGGACTGCTTGTTAAAACCCTGGCTCATTCATCCAGAGCTCAGTGGGAACCACAGTGGTACTGTTTATTCTTTCTCATAAAATAGAAGCCTGCCAATTTAAATTTATATTTGGTCCAAGAAAGGCAGTTTCTCAAAGTATTCTGGCTCCTTAAGGACCTGGGCACCACTTTCTTTCCTTCCCTCTCTTCATATGCTGTTCCCAGCCTACAGGAAGATGTCTATGTGTGCATGCTTCTTGATGCCTGGTCCTCTAAAGGAAGAAGGTCCTGAGCACCAGCAATGCAAAGGCCAGTCTTCGTTGGGTGGCCTCAGGACAGTGACCAGCTGGGTGACAGATCTGCAGTACCATGATCCTGGAGGAGTCTCTGCAGAGTCTTTCCAGGGGGTGATACTTCCCTGGGGCCTGCCCCAGAGCAGAAGCAGGCGGTGCAAATGCACCTAGTCGTCCGGGATGGGGGTGTTGCAGTTCCCGTGGTAGATCTTGACGTGGCCCTCGCAGCGGAAGTAAGCGTCAAAGACGTCACTGTAGCCATGGTCCCTCCACCAGGTGCACAGCTGCCGGTTCCAGGTACAGTCCAGCACGTGGAAGAGCTCAGGGTGCTCCATGCCAATCATGGTGAAGAAGTCCTGGTCCCCGAGGTGGCCGCGGAAGTGGTACTTGCTGGCCAGCTGCTGCACGTGCGCGGGCTCCAGCAGGCGGCTGTAGAGCGGGGACTGGCGCATGGCCTCCAGGCTCAGCAGCATCACCCCACTGTTGAAGCCAGGGAGCCCATCGGGGGGAGGGCCCCCCACCCTGGTCGTGGGGTTCTCATGGCGGAACTGCCAGAATGTGTGCCTGTGAAGGGGAAAGGAGAGACTTAGCCCCGTGGAGGTGAGCCTGCCTGTCAGCCCTGCTGTCTGTCTCGCGGCATTCGAGACTCGAAATCTATTTCCCACCACCAATGAGTACAGAGCAAGTCTGACCCCAGGTCCCTGACTCCAAGCCCCATGCTGTTCCACTATCTACTGCCACCTCAGGATGATGATGTTGGCGTCATCATCTTCATTGTCCTCGTCATGCACCTGTACAGATTTAGCACGTGCTAGGCACTGTACTGCGTTATCTTATTTGCTCCCCACAACAACCCTAAGAGATGAGGGCTCTAAGAGATGACACATCACTTCATAGTTGAAGAAAATCAGGCACAGAGAGGTTATGTAACTTTCCCAAAGTCACACAGCTGGGAAATAGCAGAATTAGGGGCTAAATCCTATCATCTTCTGGCTCCAAAGTCCATATTCTTCAGATGGTAACAACTCAGGCAGAACTTTCTACCTTTGTCTGTGATCTTAAAGAGGAGGAAGGTAGAAAGGAGGAGAGCTCCTGAATGGTGAGCTGTGAAGATATAGGAAGTCAATCTCAGGCTGAAAGAAATCAATTTTCTGCTTTGGAATAACCCTTATTCAGGGAGACCCAAAGTCTACCATATCTGAGAGGCTGGGCAAGAGCCAGGGACTTGAGACCGCTCTGGACACACACCTATGAGTTAGGGTGAAGCAGCTATAGAGAGCCAAGTGGGCCTTGGCTAATTGGGAGGGGATGTCACTTCAATGTCAATCTCCACGTCAGATTTAGAAATCCAGTCTAGGTTCATGGTGTGTTAGAGCCAGAGGGACCTGTCTACGTCCTCCATCCAAACGCTTCCTTTTGGAGGAGGGAAGAAAGAGCTAGAAATCTCCTTTGAGTGACATGGTTACAGTGCTGGCCACTCTGGTTTCCAGCCTCCTTGGTGTCAAGGACTTGTGTGCTGCAAGAGTGGGCAGGAGAGGGCCGGGGAGCTGAGCCCATGACACAGAGCGGAGGCCAACCAGCACAGCCCTGCCTTGGGTGAAGGAGCGGAGCTGGAGGCCTGCTGTGGGCAGTGAGGGGCAGGGCTGGACCTAGGTCCTCAGAGTAGGGAAGGTATCAAAACCTCACCCACCTGCTCCCCAGTCTGCAAACACCCCTCTGCCTCTTGCAGGGATACTCCAACCAATGGCAGGACAGGATCTGTGTGGTGACATGTAAGGCCTGGTGGAAATCAAACAGAGCCCGGCCCAGGGCACCCGCTGCAGGGCCATTCTCCAGATCCAGAGCACTTGTCCTGTTGGGGAAGAGACAAGCCTGCCTTGTGGCCTCACATATCACAAAGGGAGCCGAGCGTTTGATCCTGGTGAGGGAAAAGCTTTCCTTCAGGACACTCACAGGCGGAACACTCAGTCCATTGTTTGAGCTCAGCCATAATCAGACTGTGAGTGGAGCAGGGCGCTGGCGCCTGCCTGCTGATAACAGCCGCCCTGGCAAAAATAAGCTGCTAGAGCACACTGAGATGCCACGGTCCTTCCAGCCACAGGAGCCTGCGGTGATGGGATCCCAGTGTTGGGATGCAGTCTGGCAACTGCTTGTTCATTTTTGCCATACTTCCTCCAAGCGGTTAATTTCAAGCTAGGATTCTCCCAGGCAGATCTAAGCCACCACAGCATGGCAGAGGAGGGACCCTCCACCCAGGGTGCACCCCCACCAACTCGCTCACTCACCTGTCAAGGGGTCGGGACAGGTGCATCTACCAGAGAGGAAGCAGGGAAGCAAGAAGCAGGTCCCGCCCCCCTTCTTTCCGCCCACCCTACCCTCTCCTCTCTTCCCTCCCAGAGGACCCAGAAGAGGGCGGAGCTGGTCCAGCTCTGGGACCAGGATCCTTAGGCAGGGTCAGGCACGTCAGGGCCTCCTGACAAGGGGCAAAGGAAAGTAGGTGTGGATGAGATGTCACAGCCGCTAGTGGCACGTGGAGCCAGGGAGCAGGACGAGGACATGGTCTTATGACGGCCGGGCCTGTGGCTTCACTGAGCGCTCCATCTCCCACAGAGAGGGTACTAATGGCCTTCAGCCCTTCACCAAACTGGGGGCAGGCAGGCCACCCACAGCCCTGGGCACCTGCCAACCTCCAGCCAAGACCAGCAGCCTCCTCACACCTTCCCTGTCGGCAGAAGGAGTGATCAAAGGGTGACCTACTGGGCTCAGGAGGGGAGCCAGAGGCTGAGGGAGGAGGACAGAACATCCTCTGAGTGGAGGCCACAATCCTGGTGGCTCTCTGGGAACATGAAGCCCAGTGTGGCCATACAGGCAGCACCAAGAGGCATTTTATAACAAAGGGCCAGGCCTGGGGCATCAGCACATTATGAACTATCAGGAGCAAAGGAGGGAAAGGAAATTGGAAATCCAAATTTCCCAGTGTGTTTGCCAAAGCAGAAATAGCCTGAAAAGGAACTGATGATCCTCGAAGCACAAAATGATGGTTCACAGTGTTCCAACCATCCCAAGCGAACCCACAAGAACACAGGGCATGTGTTAGAGTCTGTAAACAAGTCAAAATAACACCTGGCATTTTGCCAGGGGAATGTTAGAGTTTGTAAACAAGTCTGGATGGTGCCTGGCAAAATGCCAGAGGGAGTGGTTTGAGAAGTAACAAAAGCGAGCCATTAAGTGTGGAGATTCCTGATTGGTTGACTGCTGTATCTAGTTTATGTTAATTAGATAAGCTGTGTGGAATGTATAAATACTGCTCCTGTCGTGCAATAAACGGCTCCTACTCCTGCTGTATCAATGTACACAAGTTATTCGTCACCCCCCGGTTATTTTGCTGCAGCCAGACTGCAGCAGGCATGGAGCACTCTGGGGAATGGCAGGTGCTCTGTCTTTTATGCCAGCTGCTTCTCCTGGCTGAGCCACACTGGCTCAGGCTCTGGAGAACGACATGATATGGGGATGGGCAAGGGCTAGAGCTCATGCAAGGAGTGCTTCAGTTATGCCGCGGGGCTGTGGGCGCTGGCCTTGCAAGGCGTTGCCACTGCTCCTCACACCAGAGTCAGAGGGCAGCAAAGCCTGCTGACATTCTTCCCAGACACTGCTGTCTGCACTGAACAGAGAGAGAACAGAGGTCCTCGGTGTGTCTGAGCCAGAGATTCTAATCTCCAAGGTCCCGTTATTTCTGACCGCCTCAGAACCCACAGGCTAATGTTCTAAGGAGCGGCACTTGGATTTCAATCTCGTTTCTGAATTTGGCTGGCACAGCCCGAGACTAGGGGCACTAGGGATGAGACCATGAGAGGATACAGCCACCACTGGCACTTCACGGCTCAGAGGGCAGATCCAAGGGCTGCTACAAGGCAGGTCACAGGGGCATGGGGCTGCAGGAAACCTCTGTATGAGCGTGGATACCTGGTTCTGAATCCTGGAGCTGCCAGAAATTTCTTTTTTTAACTTCCCATGCCCACACCTAGCCACTTTGCCTAATAGTGTAAACCCTGTGGCTTGTTCCCATCCTCCATGGTCACCTTAAGAGCCACAGCACAAGGGACAAGATTCCTCTCCCTCCTTGGAAATCATCCTAACTAATAATCATTTTAAAAGACCATTAAGACAAATGAACTAACCTTCATGAAGAAAACCCATCTTTATGGAAAGGGTATTTGAAATAATTTTGACTACAGTCAGCCCAGAAAAGGCAACTGTTACCACCAACACCAACACTACCAACACCAACACCAGTACCATCACCACCATTACCACCATCACCACCACCACCATCTCCACCGTCACCACCACCACCATCTCCACCGTCACCACCACCACCATCTCCACCGTCACCACCACTATCATCACCATCTCCACCATCACCATCACCACCACCACCACCACCATCACCATCTCCACCATCACCATCAACAACACCAACACCACTACCACAACCGCTACCACCACCACCGCCACTCCTTGCTCTCAAGACAGGCCCTGTAGCACAGTGAGGCAGTGCTCAGAAGGCTTTCCCACCCTGCAGGATGGCCCCTTCCACCTTACACATTCCCAGCTGGAAGGAGTGCGTGCCCAAATGACAGGGCTTGCATGGGGTGGCAGAAGGAGAGGATAGCTGGTGGGGCATGTTCCTGCCCTTATCTGTAGAACCTTGTAAGAGACACGTTAGGTGGCAAGCACCAGTCCTGTTTGCAGGCCAGCAACTGAGTTTCCAAACTACAAAATCCCTCACAGAAAGACAGAGGGACCAGCAGGCCCTCTGCTTCCCAAGCTGAAGGGCCCCTGGGTAGAGCTGGGGCCAGGAGCTTGGAGTTAAAACCAGGAGGCCTGGCAGGAGAAGAAAGAGCGTCTGGGGACAGAGACCCAACAGACAAGCTGCAGGGGTTCATAAGCTTCCTCTAGGCGCCCTCTACCCCTCTCATCCCTCCAGAAGGAGCAGCCTCCATTCCAGCCTCCACAGGGCCTCTCTCTGCACTGGAGGCTACAAGATTCCCTGTTCTGCACACTCCTGGCATCTCTGTGCCATCTGCCCAGCCTGGGAATGGGGATTCAGGGAAAAGACAGAACCTGGAGAAGTCTGAGGGAGAGTGTGAGTGCTGTCTGTTGACTGACAGGATTAACATCCATCCACACACAGGATCAGAACAGACTACAGTCAGCCCAGGGGTTGGAAGGCAGTTGTATGCATTCCCAAAATCTGTGTCTTGGAACTTTGTCCCATCAGGGCCTTCGGCAGGGGGACGGAGATTTGAGACAGGGCACTGGAGTACAGCTATTACAAGAGCCGAGTTTTCTAGAGAGCCACCTGCAACACCAGCAGAGTGGGCACTTCCTTTTACCCACAAATCCACCCAGCTCTCTGGGATAGTGTGCTCAGGCGCCAAAGCAAAGTCAGCTCCAAAGGCAGGCACTTACCTCCTCCTGCTTCTGGTGCTGCAAATTCAAGATAGCGGGGCCCTGGGAGGAACCTGCTGCTGTTGCCCTGGCATCTGGCGTCTCTGGCCCCTTCACAGGGCTGCTCCCTGTGTGCAGGTGTCTTTGTGTCCACAGTCCTCTTTTTATAAAGACACCAATCATTGGATTAGAGGCCACTTTACTCCAGAATAAACCTGTCTTAATTATATATGTGATGACCCCACTCCTTCTGTAGTACCAGGGGTCAGAACTTGAGCATACAGAATTCTGGGGGACACAATTCAACCCATAACATGGCAGCAATGAAGACAGAGAAAAACATTACAGCTCACCTTCACCTATTGCCACACCCGAGGACGCTGGTGGGGTCCAAAGCTGGCAAATTCCCTGCCAACTGAGAGAATGAGTCATGATGGGCTGGGCAGCCCTGTCTAGGAGGGTGTCAGAAGGAGGCAGGCACCCATGGCTGGAGAAGGGAAAGGCAGAGCAGCTTGGAAATGTGGGCCTCAGGTAGGGGCATGGAACAGCCAGCAGGCAGATGTCCAGAGCCCACACGGTGACAGGTCCTTGTTCTATGAGACACACAGGAGCAACCAGAGGACCCTCAAGAAAAGGAGGAATCAGTTACCAATCCCTGAGCATTCACCAGAGCACCTCTATGCCCAGCAGATAGAGGCGTGAGTACACCCTGTACCCCAGAGATGCTGACAGTCAAACAGGGAGATAAGATGCCCCACGTGAACTCCCCACAGTGGGATATCTACAATCCGGAACCTAAAAGCCTGGAGTGGGCCACCAGGCCTATAGGTAACATAGGTCCACAGTGGGCCTCTAGAAGCAGAGGAGTGCATGGTGCTGGGGTTGTAGCTCAGTGGCAGAGGGCTTGCCCCTCACTTGTGAGGCACTGGGTTAGATCCTCAGCACCACATAAAAATAAATAAACAAAATGAAGGTATTTAAAAAAAAAAGAAGCAGCAGAGGAGTGCAGACTATGTCTATCTGTGCCCATAGGGAGAGTGGCCTTGCCTGTCACTGTGGGTACTCAGCCACAGAAGGGCCGATGCTACAAATAGGCCTGCCTGCCAGGCTCCTCTCGGGGTGTGTTGGCACCTCAGCAACCAGCTTCTGTCCATCCAGCCAGTTTGGAGGTTTCTGTTTCATCATATCTTCCTGCCCTGGAAGTCTGGCATGATAAAGGTGACCCACATTGTCTGTTGGTTCCCCAAACTGCGCCTGCTATGACCAATCTATCTCTGTGGGACTAGAAACTACCATGGTGCTAGAATCCTGGAGGGCAAAGAGCCCTGACAGAAGACCTGACCTGCTATAAGACGGCACTCCAAGTACCAGTGATCCTCCTCTTCTCCAGAGCCCTCTGGT